GTGGACGGACGTGCACACAAAGTACCTGCACGTGGCGGGCGACAACCTGCCCGCCCGCCGCCTGCTGTCATTTCATGCACACCACGCAATCAAGTACACTGTGAGCGCCGGCTGGCAGAAGCCTGGCGAGGTCATAGTGTCGCAGGCGGGCTGGGCCTCGCCTGGGTATGACCGCGAGTTGATGTGCAAGTATCTGGAAGGAGCTGTGACATCAGCAGTCACAGTAGGTAGCAGCAAGGTAAGAGGTAGTAGTCGCTGGAGGCAGGAGGACTCGTTACGAAGCTAGGGGCGTGCGTTGTGTCGTCACCCCGGAGCTTTTGGCGAATGGACATGCGAGCACGCTGGCCGTCGCGGGATCCACCTATCGTATGTGATTGAGCTACCTTGAAGAGCGCGCGAACACTCCTGCCGCTGTGGGATCCACCTGTGACCCTGTACACGCAGCAGCTGCACGGGGCAATCCAACGCACATTGGGGTAGTCGTTTGCCTGCGACCTTGACACTGCATTCGCACTGGGATCCGTTGTGCCTCCCCTGCTGCAGGCTCGCTGCTGCAGGCTGCTGCTTGTGAGCATGGTGAGGATCGGTGCGCAGTTTAAGGGGACAGGCTGCAGAGCGGGGCCATCGTGCACCGGGCCGGTTGGGTAGTTCGTGATGCAGAGCAGTGTCGCCCAGTGGGATGAGGGGCCACTATCACCATGCTAGGATCAAGTATTGTTGTGCTGTGGTCTGTTGGTGAGACGCTATCTCACAGGGACCTAGCAGACACGACTAAGGAGACATTAGCCGTTACACGTATTCGGGAGATCCGCGACCTACCACCGAAAACCCCTTTGCCTAGGCGTAAACGTGTGAATCTGAGGTACTGTTACCGATAAACAACAGAGACTTATAAAGGCTTGGAAAGCCTATCCCAAAAGGACGAGAGCTATCAGTACGCTAGAACCTAATAGCCGTTTTGACGGGCCTCCCGAGACAGGTCCAAAGCTGTTACTCAGTCTAACATGCGACCTCAGACCGGCCACAGCTGTCACTCACGACAGCCTGACAAGTTACCCAAGCAGGCCACAGGGCGACACGGCAACCCTTCGCATCAACACGCCCCCTCGTGTCGCACTAGGGGCCTTACTACAAATTGCTAGCACCGACGAGCTGGCTCGGCCACCAAGTCCGCGGTCCAGGCCGACTGCTCACCACTCAACAAACACAAACGCAGCTTGCCAGCCTTCAGCCTGATGGCTATGCGGTCTGGTGCTGCTGTTCAAACACAAACAGGGAAAACAGTGCCGTACAGCACCATACGCACTGCCTACGGCGCCCCTTCGGGCATTGACCTGCCCATTCGGGCGCCTGCTCACGCACCCTCAGCACCCCCCTAAAGCCTAGCTCAAAACAATTCCTCAAAGCCCTCAGCACTCCTCCTCTGGCGATCTAAGTGACGCCCAGCGCTGTGCGGCAGCGCACGAACTTGACCTCGCCCAGTGCCTTGGTTAGGATGTCAGCCACCATGTCCTCGGTGGTGCAATAGCTGAGCTTCACCTCACCACGCGCGACCCTCTCGCACACGATGTGATGGTGCACGTCGATGTGCTTGGAGCGCACCGACGTGATGGGGTTGTTGCCGAGGCTGAGCGCGCCTTGCGAATCCAGCTGGACGTTGACAGCACCCGGGGAAAGGTCCAGATCGCTCGCCAGCTTGCGCAGCCACAACGCCTCACGCACGGCTGCTGCTGCGGCCTGGTATTCGGCTTCCACGGACGAGGCAGCCACGGTGCGCTGCAACTGACTGCTCCAGCTGACCGCCGCGCTGCCGAGCAGAAAAGCGTAGCCCGTGGTGGACCTGCGGGTGGCTGGGTCGCCGGCCCAGTCTGCATCGCTGTACCCACAGAAATTGCTGGCGTCGCCACAGTAACGTAGACCAAGCGCCCGAGTGCCAGAGACGTAACGCAGCACACCCAGAGCGAGCCCCATGTGCGCTTTGGTGGGGCAGACATGTGCCGCGCCAGCATGCTCAGAGTGTGTGCGATGTCTGGGCGTGTGCGATGTCTGGGCGTGTGCTGGTAGCAAGGTAGTTTAGTTCTCCCACCAGCGCGCGGTAGCCACTGCTGTCCGTCAATATCGGCTGGGTGTCACTGGCTGGCAGAACCCGCGTACCCTGGGGTAGCGGGGTGGCACGTGGCTTGGCGTTCTCCAGGCTGTGGCGCTGAAGCAGCTGCTCCACGTAACGCTGCTGCGTGAGCATGATGCTGCGGTTGCGGCGGTCCTGGACGATCTCCATGCCGAGGTAGTAGCGCGCCTCTCCAAGGTCTCGTACAGCGAAGCAACCAGCTATGGCCGCCTTGGCGGCCGCAACCAACTGCGGGTTGTCCGCCGCCACCAGCATGTCGTCAACGTGCACGAGCACATCGATTGAGCCATCGGACCCCCGCTTGACGAATAGCGCGGGGTCGGACGCAGACGGTTCATAGCCTAGCTTGCCCAGCTCCGCCGCCAGCTTCTCGTACCAGCAACGTGGGGCTTGCTTGAGGCCGTAAACAGACTTTAACAGCCGGCACGCCTGTGACGGGTCGCCGTTGCTGTAACCTGGGGGCTGTCGCATCCACAGCTCCTCTGCCAGGTCACCGTTCAAGAAGGCCGTCTTGACGTCCATCTGATGGACCGTCATACCTCTGGCCGCTGCCACAGCTAGAAGTGCCCGCAGGGAGGCTGCACGCGTAGTGGGCGCAAACAGCTCTCCATAGTCTATGCCCGCTCGCTGTTCAAAGCCTTTCACCACTAAACGCGACTTGTAGCGTACCTCACCGCCTGGCTCCTGTTTGATTTTGTAGACCCAGCGACAGTCCAGGATGCGTGCACCGGGTGGCGGCGTGCCCAACTCCCAGGTCTTGTTGGAGAGCTGCGACAGAATCTCGTCATCCATCGAAGTTCTCCACTTGTCCGCTTGCGGACTCGCCACCGCTTCCTCATAACTGCGCGGCTCCTGCACCGCGCTGTTGCCTCCGCCGCCCGCATTGCCGTCGCCTGCCTCAGCATAATTTGTGCTTCCCGACGCTTTGTTAAGCAGCGGTGGACTGCCCAAATCTCCGCCGCCGCCGCTGCTGTTGTTGGCTGGGCAGACCGTGGCCAGCGGCGGGTGAAGAGGTTGCCGTTGGCTGCGTGTGTTGGGGCGGGGGGGGGGCGCTGGGTTCACTGGGGGCGATGCAACCACTGGAGGCGGCGGTGTGGCGGGCTGTGTAGAGCCGCCGACGGGGTCGCCG